CATAATTTTGCACCAATGGTGCAGAATTGGCAGATAAAATAGATACGCAATTTTGGCATAATTTTGCATTAATGGTGCAGAATAGGCGGACAAAAGATAATTGTGATATAATTTTCCATCAATGGTGGAAAATGAACGAGGAAAATGCATCCATAATTTTGACATAAAATCGTGACAAATTCGAAGTAAAAATTCTAGTTATTTTTTTCGGTTCTTATGCACGTTTGGTGTGTTTTGCATCTATGTTCTCAATTGTTTGGCACCATTTTGTGTTACCGACTGTTCGAGACCAATGGTGCTACTAATTTGCTAAAATTTGCACATGGGGCAAATTAATTAGCATCAATTGATGCAAACACCTCGTGAACAGACAGTCAGACAGACGGACAGACGGACAGACGGACAGACAGACGGTCAGACAGACGGACAAGAGGAATTCAATAGCTCCCGTGCTACGCATGGTGAGCCAATAATTATGTGTTAGATTATTGATAAACCATAAAACGTAGTCTACATCACTCATCTTGGAAATTGACGGGTGGGTGAGGTTAAAATAATTGTTTTTCTCTTCATCAGATGAATGCGTGTGGGATAAATCAAATAAAAAAATTAATTCGTACACTTCCGGTGTTAATTCAACACCTTATACAACAACAATAACTTATACAACAAATTTATACCATGTGGTGACAAACTCACACCAAACTGATGATAAATCAGTTATTCACGGCATTCATAGCAGACAAATTAAAAACTTAAAGTTTCTTCATGATAACCTGAAACACATTTAGGAAGTTGTGATTTTTTTCAACTTTCTACGTTAACAACATCGGCTACTCTGAATTTTTTAAATGTACCCCGAAAATACTCGACAATTTACGATTCGACTTGGTTATCTGTGTAAAATTTCTTCCCTACATCTGTGTTCTTACTACTGCAAGCAAAAATTCATCCCCACATATTAAGTCTACATTGTGTATGCGATGGCTTAATTTTATGAAAGATTTTCGCAAGTGGCAATCACCACAAACAGAGACTAAAAAGTTGTAAAATTTTTCTCGAAAAAACACCCAACTCTTTTCTTTGTCCCAACGCTTGACCATACCAATTCTACCACGCAGCTAACTCTTTGTGCATAGGCTGCATAATTGACCCTAGTATTTCATAAAAATAAGTGCATTAGGAGATTTCTGGTTTTCAAATGCTTTCTGTAGCAGAGACCCGCTTTCCGGGCGTTTAGCGAGATTTCTTGCCCGGGACCTATTTTTGTCCACTTTAAAATTTATTGCCCCAATAGGATATTGTGTTTATCAATGAGTACAATCCATTTTACATTTTAAGCATCAGATCATTAATTTGTGACAATAATTGCCTCCACAGCATTAAAAACTCCTTCACACTTTGATCTCTTTCAAGTTCTGGTACGACATCTGAAATGTGGAAGTGGATACGAAATAAAAGTTACGATTAATTAATTGTTTAACACAGGAGCGCTAACTTAGCATGTGAGCATTGTTGGATATTTCCCACCAAAAAGACTTTTTCCCTGGGCGAGAAGTTGGAAAAAGTGGTATGCACCGTCCAAAAAGTGGGAAAAATTGGTCCCCATGTATTTAGTTATGGAGAAACTAAATTTCTTCAAAAATTAATATTTTCGAACCCTGTTGATCATCTCCATGAAATTCTGAGCATTTATACATATCTACCATACGACCACTTTTCATGAAAACTGCTCATTTTTCAGTTTTCCCATTTGAGCATCCTTACTTACAAGATTATTCAACTTGAATCGTGTTACAAACATATTTTCTCGGAATATTATGGAGAACACGAATATGAACTTGGATTTCTAAAATATTAGCTTTTAGAGAAGTTTTTTCATGTCGCCCCTAAATGAAATTTTTCCCATTTCCAACTGATTTTGGTGGGTGGGAAAAATTGTTTTTTCCCACTGTCCCGTAAAAAGTGGTACATATATACCACTTGCAACACTGCTTATCCTTAGTATGTGAGGGGTATGGGGATCGCTACTCCAAAATTTCATTTCATCTTGAACGCTTGAAAAATACTTGTGGTCAAGGAATGTATAAGTTGAAGATTCAGTTTGTCATTATGGTAAATGGGATGGATAAATTCTGTGTTTAACAATATTTAGTAAATATGTACAGTAAGCAAAAAAAAGGATCGTACACTACAATGCTGGTACTTTCGATATGATAACATCAACATAGATGGGTCAATTTTGAACTTAGTGGGTAATTTTTTTAGACTTTAGAATATTTTTTATTGGGTGCGACAAGGCCTCAGAAGAAAAATAAGCTATCGTACGAAGGTGTTCATTTTGGACGCCCACGGGAATTTATCGACAAGGACAGGTTTGAGGTGTAAAATCGCGACCGTGGCGAAATTCAAATAATTGAAATATGCAACAGCATGCATACACAATTTATAGGTTGTTGTATATTTCAATTATTTTAATTTAGGCGTCCAAAATATTGTACACCTTGGTACGATTGCTTATTTTTCTTCTGAGGCCTTGTCGCACCCAAAAAAAATATTAGAAAGTCTTAAAAAAAATTACCCACAAAGTTCAAAATTTACCCTTTTGTAAAAAAGATTTTGACCTATCGGTGACCTTAAAAATCGACGACGCGGAATTATTAGCCAATCGGTTGGTGCAACTATGTACGTGTTGAGTTTCAAAGATCTATGTTGATGTTATCATATCGAAATTACTAGTATTATAGGGTACGATCTTTTTTTTTTGCTTACTGTATATATTCCATCCTTATGTAACTCTACTTTGCAGTGTTCGATTTCTTGCACAAGAAATACATTTCGTGCTGGTGGTTGCAAGCAATGCAAGAAATTAGAGGTACACCCGAAAATACAAACGAAATGGATAGTTATGTTTTTCAATGGTAGTTTATGCATTGATTATGCAAATTTATAGTGATGAGCAAATAAACATATAGATTTCTTTGACAAAATAAAAAAAAACAATCGTCGAAATTTGACTTTGAAGAAAGGATAGGAATGGAAAGGTTAAACTATCAATAATTCGTTAATTGAGTTAAATTATCTAAGCTGACTTCTAAAGAAGTTTTTTCATGTCGGTCAAAATGGATTTTTCCACTTTTTCCCATTTCTCACAGATTTGTGTGGGTGAAGAAAAGTGTTATTTTCCCACTTTTTCCCACTCCCCAGTAAAAAGTGGTATTGCAACGCTGCGGCTGTGGAATTATAAACATAGTTATTTTTAGTATTTCCCTTTATTTAGAAGATAGAATCATGATACAAAATGATTTAGTTTATATTTTACATTTCTTAATTTACAATCAAACCATCTCAAACACATAACTTTAAATTTATTGATAATCAGTCTGACAAGTGAAATCTGACATCAGTATTTTATACAACTTCTATAATTTATAGTATCTATCACAAGTTGTAAGGGTGATACTAAATAAATAATAGATGACAGAATTATTAATTTTACCCTAATGAAATTTATATTTATAAATTAACTAAAACTCGAGTCATTTTCAATCCACCTGTCAAAAGTACGTACACTCTAAGAAATTTTACCACCAGATTATCACCGCGCGGTGACTATATATGACTCTACCGCAATGGTGGTAACCTACCACCGAGCGGTGATAGAAATGACTATCACCGTCCTGGTGATAGACGTCTACCGGCCGGTGGTAGAATAATCAATATTATCTATCACCGTTCGGTGATAGACCACCACCATTTTTAGCTCTACTTGTCACTGTCTGGTGATGGATAAGTGCAAATAATTTCACATTTCACGAAAATCTTATGTTTTTCTATCGTATTTAGTTTTTTATTCAGAAATAATTTAATATTTTGTATATATATGTACCTACTCTGTTCACATAAAGTGTTACTCGCCCAGTACTTTTGAACCCGATAAGATAAAATTAGGAGATAAGTTGTATGGTGTTCCTTGATTCAGTATCTATGAGTAGGTACCAACAGCTTTTTCCTGATCCCACTACGTAAAAAGTTCTAGAAGCTCAAGCAGAAGAGAACAACCATAATTTTTTATTTTTACACCTAGCGAAAAAATATCAATTTTTAAGGTGGTTTAGCTTTTCATGGTCAGCTATGATCTCATCGCCCAAGCTATTAAAATAATCATAGGGAAGGGGGCAATCAATAAATGCAAAATTTCCGATTGTCTAAGGTCGAAGAAAATTCCTGGGATATCCAACGCTTCGAGCGCCAGAATACTTCGAAATCACGCTCAAGCGCTGAAGACTTTGGTCATACATATGACCTGCAAACTAAACAATCCGAAGAAAACTGAAAAATGACCCCAAGATGAAGGCCTTCAATCGTACCAAGCCCCACATGTTAATGATTCCGCAGGAATATGTTAGGGTAAAAAATAGGAAGGTCCTCCAAAACCGACACGGTAAAAACACAGGGATTTTATTTTGTTTACCAATTGGAATATCCTCATGACGGAAGTGTATTTCAACAAACAGGATAGCACGTTTTATGTCAAATATATTAAGGATTAGACAGTTGCAAAAGAGGGTCAAAAGGTCACACCCTCCGGAGTCACTCTCAGCTTTGGCGGAAAGCGACGGAATTGGTCCAAAACCTTAAATTTCGTCGAGTGGGGGATGGGGGTGGATGCAGAAAATATTATTATTAACGTCCTGGCCAAGGTGAAACACCCCACCAACCAATTCATATTGGGTGGTAAGCGGTGGACCCTTGTACAGGGCTCCACGCTAACAAATAGAGCGAAATTCGTGAAAAACTGTATTAGGATCCATATTTCTGACTTCATTTTACTTCAGGTTTGACCTTGGCATTTCCCGACCTCAATCTTCTTCAACACCAAATATTTATTTGAGTTGAAGAAAATGTATGTCCTGAGCCCCAAATAAGTGTCTGGGTCACAAAAAAAGTTCTAACCCCGGAATGTGACAATTTGTCCATGAATGGAGCGCGTGCCGCAGAGGGTGCTTGGCGTTCGCGAGTTCAAAACTTTATCTACGTAGGGGGGATAAATTTTGAAGTGTGACACATGTTTTCTGTTCAAAATTTAACTGGCTTTTCAATGAAATAAAAATAAAATTTAAATTCCCAACATTGAAAAAGCGGTTCCTGTTTATCCCAGTAACACTTTATGCGAACAGAGTAGGTATGTAAAACCCATAATTACTTTTTTTTTTACTTTACCCTTTGAAGACAAACTTTCCCCAGACTGTTTTCATTAATACCGAAGCTGCTGGCTCAATTTTTCTTGGCTGACATCGATTAAAGTATGGATGGCCTGGTAGAAAAAATATATTAATTAACCATTTACAGCTGCAAAAAATACGCTGAATTTTATGTTGGTATTTTTTGCTTATAAAAATACCTCATGTACTGCGAGGACCCAGTCCAAGTAATAAGAAATTATTGCTTATGAGTCACCTATTATTATAAGAAAAAAATGAATACCATAGACAGAATAAGCTGGTCATTAATGGAAACTATTTAAAAATCGTAATTTTACCATAATTAACGGGGATGACGGCATGACGTCAGGAAATAAACACTTCGTCCTTCGGGCGTATATTGGTGTCCAACCTATATTTTCTCGGTAGTAGAAAGGAAACAAAATTTAGGTTGATAAAATTGGTCAAAATTTCGATTTTTTTAATTTTTTACCTATGTCAATAACTTTACAAATATTCAGGCGCGAGTATTTATTTTTTCCTCTTAGAAAACAAGAAATACGAAGTAATTCTGGCACTTCTACAAATTCACTGCTGTTCTGCTGCATTGTTTAGTGCGTGGAGTAGGACAAACTCGCCACTCCGAGAGTCACGTGCAGAGACGGTATCACCATGGAACGGTGGTAGTGGCTATCACCAGGAGTGGTGATAGATTTTGGTGACAAATGTATCACCATGACGGTGATACTCGCTATCTCCGTTCGCGCGGTGATCGCCGCTATCACCCAGTTTCTTAGAGTGTACACTTCTAAAAATCCGGTGCTAATTCAACACCGAGCATACATACAAGCCTTCCCCACCGTGGTGTTAATCATTAGCACCGTCATGGAGACGAATTTATACCACATGGTGACACAGTTACACCAAACTGGTGAAAAATTTATACCGAATTGTGGCATATTTAGACCAAATTAACACCAAGAAATTTACAGCCGCGTGACCACACCGGATTATTTGCAGTACATTCATTTTTAACCCACCTGTCATACATTTAACTGTGGCGTTTCATCCTGGCATTCTTATTTAGTTCAAGGTAGCACATCTCATTCTAAACTATTTGTCAAGTAGACATTGAATCCCAGTCACCGACCAGACTCAACTTTCTCCCCATTCTCAAAAAAAGCCAGACCCTCCTGACCCAGATTTCTGATAAATACAATACAAAGACGGTTCTCCAAACCCATCCTTGAACTTGTGACCCAATTCCATCCATAAATATTTCGTTTCTCAACACAACACTGGTCCATACATTGTAAGTATACCCTAAAAACCCAAACTTTCGCTTCCACTCATCCAGTAGATTCAAAATATCCAGGTCGGGTATAAAAAGATTTGCCTGAGCTGAGCAGCAACATCATTCCCTGACTAACTAACCTTGCACTTGAACCAGTTTTCCACGTGCCATAAAATATTCTCAAATTCGGGTAAAATTTTAATTTAACTGTAAAATAATTTAAGTTGAAATCTTAATTTTTTTATATTTCATTCTCACCCTGCAATGTAACAAGTCTAATTAATTCCCATGTTTTTAGTATTAGATTTGTGAAAAGGAATTCAACAGTTCATTTTGTACCATGGAAGTCAAATCTGTCATGTTTTTCCTCTTTGTGGCCTCGGTTTGCAGCCTTGGTCGGGCCGAGGTCTCATCATCCTTTATCCAACTACCGACTAAAGGTAAATTAGTAGGTTAGGTTAGGTTATTATGTAGTTTTTATGTTTTTTTTATTTTTAAAAATAATTCTGAACTTGCGAGAAGACTTTTTTAATTTTTGAAAAATAATTCTTAATTTAGGAAATGAATTATAAATTTAAAAAATAATAATTCTGAATCTGGGAGAAGATTTTTTGAATTTCCTATAAATAATTCTGAACTTGGAAGATGAATTATGAATTTGAAAACATAATTCTGAATTTGAGAGAGGAATTCTGAATTTTTTTTATAATTCTGAATTTGGGAGATCCATTATGAATTAAAAAAATAATTCTGAATTTGGGAGAAAATTTTTTGTATTTTTTAAAAATAATTCTGAACTTGGAAGTAGAATTCTGAATTTTTTATAAATAATTCTGATTTACATATTTCCTAGGTACTCATCGCACTGCTCGAATGACTCTCGGGACATCGGTTAATACAGGGCAATGTGCCCACATTGGGCGGAATTGTATCATGCAGCGGGACAGGGCGGACAACCCGTCGTCCTTCACCTACGTGCCCTGCTGTGAGTACCTCACCTGCCAAGGAATTGGGCCGGTCGAGATCAGAAACGGACTTGGCCAGGCGCTCAAGAGCGATGAGAACACTTTTAGCGGGATCTGCACCGTCAGTCTGGACAATGGAGGGGGAAACTTGGGCCAATACAAGAATTACGTCGCTGGACTTTAAAAGTCGCTGGATTTTTGGGGCTGGTTGTGGAGAAATATGATTCACTAAATACTTCCATTATTAATTTTTGACCTATAATTACATGAATCTAACCGAATCCATTTGACTTTTATGAATTAATAAATATTTACCGAAATTTAATAATGATATAGTGCCTAATAATTATGTGTTAGATTATTGATAAACTATAAAACGTAGTCTTCATCACTCATCTTGGAAATTGACGGGTGGGTGAGGTTAAAATAATAGTTTTTCTCTTCATCAGATGAATATTAATACCTGTTGGGATAAATCGAATAAAAATAATTCGTACACTGCAAATAGTCCGAATTCGGTGTTACTTCAACACCGAGCCGGATCCATATATAACTCCCCCGCCGTGGTGTCCATCATTACCTCCGTCATGGTAACAAATTCAGATGTCACAAAATTCTTTATAAAATTATTTTAGATCTATATTTACTTACTGACCCAAGGTTTGCAATTTGCGGAATTTTGCAAATACTTGCATTTTCCGTATTAGTTAGTACCTACACATACCATCTGATTGTATTTTTTTTCGCGCTCCAACAATGGCCGACCTCGCCATAAGCAATAGCATGTAGAGTTTGAAAATTCACTGTATATGGTCGGTTCTAGACCGATTTTGAAAATTCCGCCCATTTTGGAAACCTTGGACCCTTGCGCGAAATATATAATTTCAGATATTTGAAATTTTTTTTAACTTGGGTGATTTTGTTGTATCAAACGTTCCTATTATACGATAAATAGATAGCTTTGACATTCCTTACTTTTAGAAATTGTGGTTGGGCTCGTTATTCTTGTCGAGAACAACGACATTTCTGTAAAAGTGCACAACTCGTTCTTCTAAAAGTTGTAGCTTTTTTACTCCAAGTTTCGCCCCCTCCTATATGTTGTCTTTTTGTGAAAAAACTTGGCAACTAGATAAGTTACTTTATAAGTGAAAACATATCCGACAAAAAAATATTGCTTTTCCCTCCCGTGGGGAGTTTGGGAATTATCGTCCCACGACTTATGAACCACACCTTACGTATCACTAAAACGACAAAACCAAACATTTCATGTGCTTCTATATTTATTAAAAATTTGCAAACGGCATATTTAAGTACAGCCAAATAAATGCCCATTTACCTCCAAAATATTTCCAAAATATAAACTACGTCAAACGTATAAATACATAATTTCTGGAGAAAGTGTGTAGTTACACGTTTCTATATATCTTCGAAAAATTTGCAAATACAAAATCTGCATTAACTCTTCCACTTGTTTTTTATTTCGATAAATAACATTACCATAAAATCCTCATCTATGTATAACTCTGACCTTACCTGGACAACGTGAGTACACCCAAAACTATCTCATCCACCACCTGCTTACAAATCCAGTGCATGCAAATCCATCCACAACTCGACATCCTCCTTTTTCACAGAACTTTCAGCAATGAGCAAATATGTATGTGTAAATATTAGTTACTCCCCTTTCTACTAAAATCCTTCTTAATGCTACAATTATCATGGAGATATAACACGATTATGTAAATACTCAGGTTTGTCCCAAAAGTTTTATTACACAATTTGTTCACAGAAATCATGTTTGTCACCTACAAACAAAATACGACTGATCTGTAGCATATATTTTACTCATTAAATTCCAACTTTGCTCATGCACATTAAATAAAATAATCACTATTTCTTTAACAAATATCTCACCCATGATTCCCCCACGACAAGACTGTTTATTATCTTTACAAAGATTTAAAGCACAAAAATAGCGCTGCACAATTAATACATACATTTATCATTTTTTAATTCTTTTGCATCACTATTCATCAGATTTGAAGATACGTGAAAAAATCGCAATTCCACCCATTCAAATGTAAAAGGTATAAACATATAAGTGGATACAATTGTGTGCATACACTCTAAACAAAATTTTAATGAATCATTACTGCGCGGAGTGCATATATGACTCTACCGCGATAGTAATGATTTAGTATTAAAACAATACTATATGGTAGAAAAATAACACAAATTAGTATTAAAATTATTACCAAAAAGTGTTATTTTATTACTAAATCTATACCAACATGGTGTAAGTTTTTATTTCCGTCAAGGTAGAGTCATATATCTACTCCGCTTGTTTTTTATTACCAGGTTGCTAAGAGTGTACATAATGGAGACTCATACAATAGTAATTGTTACAGAAGTGGGGATGACGGGCCATATTTTGTTGTAAAACTTTTTACACAACCGTAACACCCTTCTTCACAAGTGTGCATGACACACTCGTATTTTCAAACACATAACATGTCCAGACAAGAACTACTCATAAATCTTTATACAGAATGATTGAATGATTTATCCATTTATACACATTGATGTATGTAAGGTATAAAAATCCCAAAAACCGTGAGAGAAATTAGTGACAGGTATTTTTATCAAGAATGAGATTACCAAATACGTACATATGTATGTATGTGCATATGTATATATACATACGCCTCTTATTTTAACATATCTGTAATCCTTTAATGCATACAATAATCATCTTCATCTTGCATGTTCGTTAAGTTGCAAATTTTTTGTCCTGTCTATTTTTATCCAATTTTACCATTTGCAGGTGTTTCATCACTTGATGCAAAAATCTTCACCAAACTAGTTTACCAAAGTGGACAAGAATAAAGATAATTCTAGAATGAGAATATTTATTTATGTAAGCATATCATCGTTTAATCGAGTCACAATTAATGACAAGAGGTATAAAACCTTGATAAATTAGTAATCTCATAAAACCATGAACTGCAACAGGATCCTGGATCATTCACTGGCCAGGAGCATTCTTTGGATCATTCTTTGTCCCAAAAATTGTCTCATTTTTCCACTGGTTTTGGCAGAGCGATGAAAAACTCGCCAAGTTTTGATCAGGACCTCCCCCCCTCGGGGGAGCATCCACTGTTCATCGAAATGGCGCAGTTCTGCCGAGATGGAGGAAGGGAGGAGTGGCGAGAAGCGGCAAGGTGAGTCTGTGACAGGAATAAAATTTCCGGTAAAAAAGTAAAGAAATAGCTCCTTCTTACTCATTGCATTAACCCCTTAAGCTTGGAATTTTTATAAATTTGGAAGAAAATCGGGAATCAGGAGTGACGATATTTCTGATTTATTTGTACACAAATGCAGTCTTTAAGAGAAGCCAGCTACTTAATAAAATTCGATAACAAAATTGTGACATTAAAATTTTAAAATTATAATTGACAATATCCCAAATTTAAAAGTATCAAAAATCATGAAGTAATTTTTCTCTGAAATTTTTTTAAATTATTTTTTAAACTTTTAAAATTTTATGACATCAATTTCCAATTATATTTCTTCCCCATTCGCAAAACTGTACGTAAATCTGTACATCGATTTTACCCGAATATATGGATGGGTAAAATCCTATAAATCCGTCCATTATAAAAGGTTAATTTATTTAAAAAAAGCTTACTTTCGTCCTCTCGCATAGATGGGTAAAGTATGAAGAAGACATTGAAGAAGGTGGTCAGCGATGGAGCAAACCGTACGTGTCCGCCATTCACCTCAGCGCCTTGAACGAATTGCGCGGGATTTTGGAGAACAATTGCCAAGTTCATTTCAACCTCGTGTGTGGCAGTGAGAAGGAAGCATGTCAACTTCTAGTGGACAAGTGGCTATCCCAGAGAGCCCTTGGGGAACCCGAGTCCTCAAAAGTCCTCTCAACCCTGCTCAAACCGCATGCTCACCTTTACGAAACTACGGAATCGTCATCCCTAATTCCTCGAATTTTTAAAGGGAAAACAAACCCAAAGCCGCGAAAAGGTAACTCCAGCTTGAACAATGAGGGTATTATCCTCGCATTTAGGCGTGTCACCTCATTTGCATAAATCTCACTATGCCCATTTTAGTTGATACGGGCTTTCCGTGTTGAATTAACTCTATGTCTCTCGCGAATGCGTCAAAATATGCATATGAGGTGACCGGCTATAATAATTCCACAGTATTCATCACGATTTCGCATCGTTACCAACAACATAAAATTTCTTGCTTGAAAATTAATTTTCACTCTTTCATACATATTTCCTGTGGAAGCATTTGTCTATTTAGCAAAATAGGTTATTTTAACCTCGCAAAAACCATTTTTGATAATTCAGCTTCCCTCCGCCCTGATCAAGCCCGGCGTGGAAGTATCCTTTCCGTCGTGTATCAACCACAAGAAAAAGATGACAACTTGGTAGGTTTCCCCATTTTTATTAATTATACGTCTCCATGATTTTCATATTCTAGAAAAATACACAATTTCTCCGGAAACTTGACAATCTTCCAGGGCATAAATTACTTGGAGATTGGACGAGCAATGGGAACTTTACTGACAGATCCAGGATTTAAAGATTTGGCATACAGTGCCGAGTCTAGGGATGAGTTGGTAGCTGGGATTGACCAGTTTTTAAATACGACATCAATCCTTCCTCCGGCCATTTGGGATGCGTCGATAAGGTTAGAACCTCACGAGCATGAAACCAACGGCCATGGCGGAAATGCGGGGGGTGAACAAGTAGAACAAGACGACTCACTGGCCAGGTCAGGAAAACTGTTTCGAGGATTGTACAAAGATCTTCAGCGGAAAATTGGATGGTAAATAAATTACTATTTGGAAGTATTTCTAACTCAATAATTATAAAGACTAAACTTCAATTTTTTTTAGGTATCCTTCCGATTTTCGGGACGCAATTTCTCTACAGGTTTTATCAACTTGGATGTTCCTCTATTTCGCCTGCCTAGTAAGTTTTTTCTTGATTTAGATTCGGAAATTTGTTTGGATTCTAAGTGAAAAGTTAAATAAGTTTGCACAATTTTATTTAATTGCTCACAGTTTAATTGAATGGACAAGTTCACATGTATTAATTTACAAGAGAAGGATTGTAGCACAAGCTATGCATGTATGTAGCTGAGTAGATTCACATTACGGGAGCGGTCTAAAAAAAATGTACAATTTCATTACAATATATTCGCAAATAAGTAAGAAAACTTAAATTTTCGAAATTTTCGAGATTTTCATGAAATTTCTTTTAGAGACAAAATTATTCCGTAGGTGGGGTTAACAATTAAATTGAA